ATTCCTGGCCTCCTGCTCACCCCCCAAAAACAGAGCTTGGGGCTCTGCTTTGGCCTTCGACAAGGTATCAGCAGAACAGATAGTGTGACTGACAAAGAGCTGAAATACCTGGTTTGTTCTCCAGACCTTTATTACTCTTGCGTCATATGATCATTTCTCAAATGTTAAAAACTCCTGGCTCACACAGAGGGCAGCCCAAACCTGCAAGAAGGACCTTTGTGCTGTGCTCTCAGCCACTTGGCTGTACTTTGATCAGAAGGGGTCATCAGCTCCGCAGGGGTCATCAGCTTTGCAGGTTCCTCCCTGGGTCTCTGTAATCACTTGTAAATCTCTCACTGGCCAGCATCAACCCTGTGGATGGTGGTCAGACCCACAGCAAGGGGAACAGGGTGTGGGGGGAAGCAGAGAGGTCTCCTGATGCTTCTTTGCAAGGCCTGTCTCTTGCTTCTTTTGCTCCTGCTGCACCTTTCTGACACTTGTGGTTTGGAGCTTGTGGATTTTTATACCCAGTTAATTTTCATTTGAGTCACTTGGATCTCAGCCCTGAAGAGCTTCCAGTCACTGTCAGGTTTGTGCCAGGCAAAGTCACTACTTGCAGTTGCAGTTTCCTCTGTCTGTGTGTATCATTTCCCTGTCATTGTCCCCAGGCCCTCCCTTCCACATGCATGCCCCTATCCACACATACATACATACATGCTGTCTCTCTTGCGGAGCCCTACAATCTTTTCTTACTTTTGTAGATTGTCCCTGACAATCTTTTCTTACTTTTTTCCCCCCTTTTTCCCTCAACAGTCTCCTCACCCGCCTTGGGCATCAATGGATGACAAGAGCAAATCATGACAACAGTATTTTTGGCTAATGCTTGACATGAGCCATGCCCTCATGTGCAGCCTGGCTGCCTCTGGGCCTTCATGCTAAAAGCACTGATAAGAGTCCAGTCTGAGTAAGCTTCGAGAGAGGTGTTCACCTGTAATAACCCAGTACCTCCAACTGCGTGGGGGAGTGTTGAGCACAAACTAGAGAATTCAGTCCCCTGTCCAACAGGAGGTCTGCTCTTCTTGGCATGGTTATTGAAGTGGTAGAAAAGTACTGAGAGAGCTTTTTCCTTCCTACCTATGTAGTGCAAAATGAATCATATAGACATTATGCAGTTTAATTTGGACCATAGATAATGGCTTAGCTTTCTTTTATCCCCAAACTGAGCTGTGGAAGAGTGCAGGAGGGTTTTGGTGCTTCCAGTGTGGTTGGTAATAAAGTTATGCTGCACCCATGAAGCTACATGTCCAACTTTGAATAAGGCAATGTCATCAAAGGCCAAGGGGTTAGATGTCTATGGCTACTCTTTAACTTGTCTTTAGACATATTTGGAAGGAATCATAGTAACCTCTCAGCTTAATGGTTGTTGCCACTAATGTGTCAAAATACACCTCTGATCATTATCTGAGATGTTTTGGGAAAGTGAGAAATGTAATAATTCTCTAAGGTATATGCAGAATGCAACTTTGTTACTTGAAATAATGTTTATAGTTGTTCTTTTGAGGGGGGAGGAGGAGGAAGAGAGGAAAAAAATGTAACTTCAAGACACACAGTTGGAAGTGACCGTTTCCTTGATTCAGCACGAGGTCAAAATGGGGTTGTCACTATATTTACAGCTTCTGCAAATATATCCACACATATCTGAACAGTGTATGTATGTCATGTAGGTGGTAAGCCCTATCTTAACTTTTTAGTTTGGCTCCATTCTTTTCCTTTTCTTCCTGTGGATTGCACTAATTCTTTAAAACTTTAACCTCCTAGAGGAATGCTTCACAGCATAAGTTAGTGTTCCAGCCAGCTGAGATCTTATTTGGATAGATTTGCTTCTTTTTCCTCTTAGGGCACTGTTTGCCTGGGCATGATTTTTGTTTTATTCTTCAGCTCATCTCACAAAATCATTAAGGTTGGAAGGGACCTCTGGAGATCATCTAGTCCAACCCGCCTGCCCAAGGCAAGGCCACCTAGAGCAGGTTACACAGGAACCAGATGGGTTTCGAATGTCTCCAGAGAGGAGGCACTGATCTTCTGTAAGGATGTCACTGGGACACGGATGAGGGGCTTGATAGCACATGAGTATGTGACTCTTGGACAAGGATATGCAGTCAGAAAAATGATTTTTATCTCAATGACATTCACGTCAATAGAAACTGGTTTACCATTAACATTGTAAGTGGAGAGAGATGGTTGTAGGTGGCAGCTAAACGAGGACAGAGAACTTCACCAGTTCAGTGCACTAATGTGGAGGGTAGAACTTCAACCTAGACATACTGATTTAGATTTGCAGGAGTACTTCAACTTTGTCCTTAAATGTAAGCCTTTCCTTTTGAATTTGCAGGCATTGGAGCTTTTTTTTTAAATAGATTCGCAGATATTCCAGATCAAAGTCGTGTCTTGTAATGTCTGAGATCAAGTTTGGCTTGGGCAGTGCATAACTGAGGATTTTGTATGGATACATCTGTACAAAATATAGAACTGATGGACTGCTTGTGTCTGAGACTTGGATCTGATGGCTTCAGTGATTCATTCCCGAGTTCCTATACCTAATTCCTAATCAGGCCTTTGTCTTTCAATGCTTTTCAGCCAGGAATTGCCTAGCATAGTGGATAGCTTTCTGCCATTTTTCTCTCAGCTGCATACTAGCCATTTTATGACCCTTTCAACCAGTCTTCCTTTATGCCTTCCTGTACCTTAGGGATGTGAAGATACTAATGGGGATGAGAGGATAAAGAAGATAAAACTTCTACTCATTTTCTTCCACTTTCCCCTCAGTGTGGCCTGCATTCAGGCAGGGAATGCATAGTGCCTTCTGTGGCAGTGTTAGGCTCCCTCTGCACATGGAGTATCTGTTAACGCCATGTGTAACATTGTGCTGGTGCAGAGCAGGCAGCACATGGGCCTGCGCTGGCTTCATGCTGGTGTCAGTCTCTCTCCCAGCAGTAGTCTCTGTGCTGCGTTCAGGCAAAGCATCCCAAAAGTGCTGCTTGGGTGGCTGGCGTGCGCCATTTTCCCCTGCAGCCATTGCCCATGTTTCATGAGCTCCTGCCTTCATAACTGCAGCCCCTGCTTTCTCATGAGTTAGGATTGTCACTGCATGTTTATTGAAGTGCCTTGTGAGCCAGAATCTGCTGCTGTTACAAAATCCACAGCAGGGCTAGTCCTGCCAATGTTGGTGATATCAGTCGTTACCATCTGAAGAGATGACGTGCATTTTGTTTTCCTTACTCAAATACCAGTAACTGCCAGAAGCAGGATGTGTGGGACAGTGTGGTCCAGAGGGCTGTCCTGCATTGAAAACTGCACATCTATGCCTGCCTTTTCTTCCTGAACTACGTTATTTCTGTTGTACTGATGTCACCCATCGGTTTGCATGTCGCAACCTAGTTGCTATGAATCAGAGGGAACAGCATGAAATAATTGTATGGAAAGGAAGGAGGCTTCTGACAGCTATGGTCCTCAGGTGTTAACTCTATTTTGGGAATAACACTGCAATAAGAGAAGATCATAGGTCACCATGCAAATATTTTGTGTTTTCTTTATTGTATTATCTGGATGCAAATTCAGGCTGATATTTCTTCAAACACAGCAAGGCAGGCAATGTAAAAAGTTGTGAAAATGTTACCCATTCGTACTTATCACATGTTGTAGTGACCAAAATCAAACAAAGCTAAACAACTTGCTGTGAAAGTCAACACAGCTGCTATTTTTTGCATAGCTGTAAGCATTAAGTGGGGAAATGCAAAGAATTCCTTTATAATGAATAGTTTAGAACAAGGTTAGTAACAATTTGCCTTTAATTCAGTGCATTAACAGATTGTTGTCTATGACGTTTGGTGATTCTGGGTCTAAACAGAGCCTTTTGTCTTGGATGAAGCTTTCATCAGTGAGAAGGGCCATGTTGAACAAGCTGCTTGTGTTACCAGGCAAGCAATTAATTTGACTGAAAATTATGCCCTTCCTTTTCGTTGTGTACAAATGTGGGTGTTTCAGTATAGTTGGTTGCTCATTCATGCACAGGAGTAAGTTCAGGAGCCTCTGGGAATGCATCCGTTTCAACACATTTTTTTCTTTCCCAACCTTTCATGCAGACTTAGTGGTTGAGCCAAATAGCTAAAAATCCTCAGGGGTTTAAAGGATTAAATGAGAACAATAGTTAAGGTGCAGGTCCTGAACATACGACAGGAGGTAGATGCTGAAGGACCTGCTTAGTGAACTACAGCCTCCCCTGTAACTGTGAGTGGCGGACTGGTAGGGATTTTGTAGATGCAAAGGGAAACCTAGTGATGGCTGACCTGAAGGTTTGCCGCTGGGCAGTTTGGTGAAGCCAGTGGGAAGGTGCTACCTTGCTAAGGGTGACAGATTTGTTCCTAGATTAGGAGGTTAGCACTAGTTTTCATTCCCCCTTAGCTGGACTCTTGCTCCTGCTGGTTCCTGTAAGTAACCTGTTCCTTCATGTTTTTCTGTTTGTCTCAGGTACTGAATGGTTCAGGCTGGAGGTTTTCCTGCCCTCTCCATAGCCACTGCCTGGCACTGCCCTGAGAAGAAGCAGCGGGAAGGCAGGAGCCTCTCCTCGGCTGTGGGGCGCCGGGGTGAGACTTGTCGCGAGGTGTGCTGTGCTGCCCTGTGAGGGCCGCCATGGAGACCCTGTCCCAGGACTCTCTGCTGGAGTGCCAGATTTGCTTCAACTACTACAGCCCGCGCCGGCGGCCCAAGTTGCTGGACTGCAAGCACACATGCTGCTCGGTGTGCCTGCAGCAGATGAGGACCAGCCAGAAGGACCTGCGTTGCCCCTGGTGCCGTGGGATCACCAAGCTGCCGCCGGGGTACTCTGTGTCCCAGCTGCCCGATGACCCCGAGGTGATCGCTGTCATTGCAATCCCCCACACCTCTGAGCACACCCCCGTCTTCATCAAACTCCCCAGCAATGGGTGCTACATGCTGCCGTTGCCCCTCTCCAAGGAGAGGGTGCTTTTTTTGCCGCCTCCTGCCTGGCAGCCAGCAGAAGTCCCTGGCGGTGGTGACGATCCCGGCAGAGCAGCAGCCTCTGCAGGGCGGCCTTCCCACCGAGGGGGGAACAGAGGAGCCGGACCGGAGAGGCGTTGTGAAAAGCTCCACCTGGTCAGGGGTTTGCACTGTGATCCTGGTGGCCTGCGTCCTAGTCTTTCTCCTGGGCATCGTTCTCCACAACATGTCGTGCATTTCCAAGCGCTTCACAGTGATCTCCTGCGGCTGAGGCGGGGAGGGGTGTGTGTTCCCTGGGGGTTGGGTCGGCAGCAGCGGTGGTGGTGGTGGTGGTGGTGGTGTGGAGTGAGACAATTCAGCGCAGCTTTGCCCAATGACTGCAGAACGCTGTGCACCGGGGCAGTGGTGTGCCGGCCCGGCCACAGCCCCCGTCAGTGTGGCATCAGGCCTCTTGGCAGCGTGCGGAGAAAATCACGTCCCGTGCCCGGCGGCAGCGGCACTGAGGAGGACTGCATGCGTCACCATAACCATTTATCAAAGGGACTGCAATGTACAGTGATTTTTTTTTTTATCGTGTTATGAGATTAAAGACATCTATGTAGCTGGTTATACTGTAAAGTGTATGGAATGAGCTCTACTCTAAACACAGTAGATTAAAATCAAAACTGCTCCATGTAGAATTAAAGGAGAATTGGTGCGTGACCGTACGAGGTGTTCAATACCAGTCCACACATGCATTATTTTTTAATGGGGGGAGGGAACGAGACTTGTAAAACCAAGAAATCACTTAGCTGGTAAGGCATTTTGTATGTTTTAAACTGCACACTAATTAAATCAAGTTAGGGAGTTGTACAATAGTTTTTAAATGGAAACATTTTGCAAGCAATCATTTTGTTCTGTGGTATGTGTTTTTTGCCTCTCTTTTTTCCCCCGTTTTTTTTCAACTACAGGGAAGTGGCACTTCCAGCATCTTTTGTTTGAAGGAGCCATTAGTGAAGAAATGGGCATGAGAGGTCCTAGGACTCCTCCTGAAAGGTTGTGATAGCAAATTGTTCTGTTTCTTCTTCTAAAGCTTAGGTTTTCCTAACTGTTTTTAAAGCATTCAGACCTATTTTGCCTCCTTCTTTCCTAGGAAATGCAACTGTGCACCCATGGATAGTGTGATGGAGGATTTCCTCTAAGGAAGCCTCACCATCCCAACACACCAAGGAGCTTTATACGCAATCATGTAGTAAGAGGCTTGACATTGTAGGGAGGATAACTCATGGCACCCTAACCCTCTAGTGGGTGGGCTCCCCTCCTACATCACTGTGGCTGTCCTTGTATCAAAATACCTGGGTGAGCATAATGGAGCCTTTTCCCACATTTCAGTGTTATAAATGTTGGTGTTCATAAGTACAGATTTGAAAAAAACCCCACAGGAATTGTCTTCCTCCACCCATGAGAGTCATGAAGCCGCACTCATTTGCAGTTCACTTCCTGGAAAGAGCCAGATTCCTGAACCTTCGCTGCAGTAGCGCCTTGCTCTAACCAGTCCCAATAGCTTTAGTAGTTCGTAAGTAAAATAGAGCTCAGTGTGAATTTTGATATTTGGCAAAGCTGAAATTTGTGTGAGATTTAGAGATTGGATCAAGGGGCATATGACAGACCTTTAATAAGACAGAAAAATCTATTGATTTGCGCTGCTTCTTTTTGCAAGTACAAAGTCTAACCTCCCTGAATGATCTCTTGTCATTTACCTACTGCTCTTTCTAGTAATTAATTAGAGACTGCTCAGTGCCATATTATAACACTAGAGAACATAATTTTGACCATGCAGTGCTCAAGCTGGCCCTGTAGACATTGGTGGTTTCCTGCTTATATCACAAAATCCAGTTGCTGGTTCACAATAAACATTCCTAGCTAGGACTTCTGTCAGGAACATACCTCTATCTTCATGCTGGATTTCTTCCCCTCCCTGTTCCCAAACTACAATTTTCTTCCTTGATTCCTGTCAACTGAAGAACAGCATATACGGTGCTTAATTGTTATGGTGTGTGTTGGGTCATGTATGGAGAGGAACCATTGTGCTGATTTTTACCTACTGTCACGTGTATGCATAGCACAGCAAAAAAAGAGATCCTCAGATAACACATTCAATGCCTTTTCTGTGCAAGGCCCATGTGCAGTATGCCTTGAACTTGGCTTACAAGTATTGTATTTACACAGACACCTCTCCACAGCATGTTTAATTTGGTTGCAGAAGGGAACAACAGGTATTCCAAAATATGCACTGAGAACATGCTAGTCTCATGTTGCCAGTAGGAAACCAGATTTCTATGACATCCACACTACGCTGCTTATTGTGTAATGGAAAGCCAGTTCATAAAAAAATCTTGCCTTTCTAAGACTCTTGAGGAAGTGACCAGATACAGGACTCAACCCTCTACTGCCTTACCCCCATAACAATTGCCGGGTGTACCAGGGCGTGTAGCATAGCTGGAAAATGCTCTGAGAACAGCACTGGTGCGTTTCGTACCGGCTTCTGCATTTGCTTATCCAAGTTGTCTGTGACCATGAGGCAGTCAAAGAGCAGGTCCTGGAGATACAGTGCTGACACTGTTAACCTCCTTCTGGCCGTACCTGCCCAACTGAAGCTCTCGAGGCTGAGGTTTGTCTGGCGTTGCAAAGAATGGCTGTCTTGAAAAGCATCCTTTCTGTCCCTACATGGAAGGTGCAGTACGAAAGAGAAATCAGAAATTAGGTTAAAATACTACACTGCATAACACATTATGCAACAGGCAGACCTGGAGTTTATCCGGTATTAATAAGTATTATATTAGACAGAATACCATCCTGTATTATGTACACAGTACATTGTTTCATTAATATGAATTTCCTGTACTTTTCTTGCCTGCTGAAATGCATGTTTGACCTAATTTCTGATCCAGACATTTGCCTGCTCACAGCCTTGTGTAAGAGCAATAAGTAGAACCTCAAGATTTTTGCCTGCGTGTGCACGCATGGTGTGTACATTCATCCCTTTTTATAAATAGGAGTTCCAGAGATGTTTTTGCTCTGGCTTTAGACTGTGACTATCATTTTAAATTTGCAGCTGCCATATCATGTTGGATCACCTAGCTTTATTGCTGACTTGTGTAGAAGTGAACTAAATAGTTTGTTGTAATGTACAGTGTTAAAATGTTTCTCAAATATGTCGATAGTCCTACCACTTTAAAAATGCAGTGCAGTTTGCCCCATTCCTTGGTCCAATACCTGACATTTAAAAAAGTGATACTGCTGTATCCACCTCTAACTTTTTTTAAAAAAAAAAAAACCAGCCTCATCTTTGTAATTTTTCTCTGTGGAAAAATGCATTTGGATTTGTATCAAAATTGTTGGGTTCTGGGCTAGTTTTTGTTCTCTGGGGTTCAGTAGGAAATCACTGCCCAGTTACACAAAAAAAAACAACTTACTGTGACACCGTGCTATTTGAGCAACCAAAATTTATGCTAAAACTAGTAATTACTCAAGCACCTGCATTTTTAGAGCAAATTACTCTGTATGAATGTGTATTTATTTGCTTGTTTAATGGGAAGGATGTGTGTGTTGGGGTCCAGCTTCCTTTTATTTTCTAGAGGGCCCCAACTTCCATTTTTGGCTTGTGCTTTGCTGGCAAACAGACTTTAGGGTTCACTCTGTGAAATTTTGTTTAGTGAATTTTAAAAATTCAAAATATGCAATTTTGGTATGTGGGATTTTTTTAGGAAATCTTGTGTTCAGTGATTGTTCATGCTTAACCGAGATGTAAAGGAGACTGGATGTTTTGTAAACATGGAGCAATCATGAGTTCAAAGTTTCATCTTTATTAATGAAGCTCAGTCTGAATAAAACATTAGCAGGAAAAGAATGATATCAAGTGAATTATGGTACCTCTGTTACTTTGCTATCAACTGAAAATGGCAACATCTTCAAAAGAACACTTGTAAGGCAAAGTATTAAGTGTGGGTTGTGGTAAATAGTAAAAGGTTGTTCATGTTTTAGTTACTTTAGAACACGGAATTATAGCTGATGATAACTGAGCCACAAAATTTTTCTCTTTTTTTTCTGTTTTAAACAGGTGACTTAGAAGTTATAAGTAAACTTTTCACTTACGGAGGCGAGGGATTCTTGGCCTTAAGTATGTATTGTACAGACTGGCACACCAGCTTCCTTTTCCCCTTGATCCCACCCTCCCAGTCGTGTTGTTGCTGGAGCCCTGGGCAGCCAACCCTTTTGTAATACTGCAGATGCTTTTCTGGAGTAGAGATGGCCAATGTTTTACTGGTTTTGTTACATGTACAACAGGGCTAAACCAAACCCAAAAAATTCATACATGATTTGAGCTCTTCTGTGCGTGTCCTTGTATCAAAAGCTTCAGGCATTAATCTACTGTGTAAACTGGTCCAGGCCTCTGTGTTCCCTGGATCTTTTCACAGAAACGCCATATAGCAGAGGACGTTGCCTCTTCCCAATTATAGAGAGGTACTGTACCCATCATCTGCAGCTAAATTGCCCCCAGGCAACATGCCCTGCTGTCATGAGTCAGTTTCATGAGTACTGCAGGAGATATTCACTTGTCAAGTGAACACATCTGAAGTAAATATTAGAATTGAAACGCTTCCTTATTCAAGTTGCGCAGAAAGCTTGGTTTGAGATTTGTTTTTTCCAGACTTTTTCTATAGGCAGACGGGGAGGGAGGGAAGAAGCTACATGACAGCAAATGAGTTCCAGACGCTGCTGAAGAATGTGCCTGCCCTGAAGGTAAAGATTTTTGTGCAAGAGCTTCAGTAGGAGAGCATTGTCTGGAAATGCTGCAATGGATTTACAGCATGTTGGTGACCTTTCTGGTGCTGTACACTGTCCATAGGCCTGACAGCTTGGGCTGTTGTGTTCTTTCTCTTTGTCACTTTACCTCTTGTTATGCTCATGTCAACAAGCGAAGCTGCTTGCTTCATCCTCAGTTTGAATGATTTCACAGTTGTTTCTTAAGTTGCCCAGAGCATCCCTAATGAAAAAATTACCTTCGAAGTTCAGTGAAATTTAATGCTTAATAAATGTTCAGAAAATGTGTTTTTCAAGTATTTCCTTATGTTTCATTACTTTTTAATTTTAGTTCTTAATAATTCCTGTAATGTTTGTGCTAAGCATGTTCTTGAACATGCGAAGGCAATTCATAGAGATTAGGTAAGATCCACTGCCAGAAGAAAATATTTCCTATTCTCCCTATCCATCCCACAGTCTCCTATATATCTACACAAATCTCTTTTCACTCTCCTCATCTCTTTCACATGGAAGCTCCTGAGCATGGGGATGAAAGGGCATGCATGGAATGCCTACGCTTATGAGCACAGGAACATGT